TTTATAGGTTCCACAATCACACACAATATATCTGAATTCAAAGAAATTACTTTTAGAATGATTAAACACAACATTAGAACACTAACGTCCCGCAGAATAATAACAATGTATAACAGTGTTTAAAACAATATATTGAACTGATTTTAGAAAAAAGTAAAAGAAATTGGTTTTTTCTACCTGTAAAATATCAGATTACTCCATTGCTCCCTCCAATTGAGCGGATGAAAACCCCTAGCTGTTGACTACTGCATGAATGGAGGTGCAAAGCATTACATAGGAATTACTTTTAGAATGATTAAACACAATATTAGAACACGAACAAACAATCCAATTAGGGTAATATCCGAACAACTACAAGAACAAGAACAAGAAAAATGCAAAATATTAGAATACTAACCACCCGATTCTGTAGCAACCCATCGCATGATTCACTGAAATTCCAGAGTTAAATTGCTACTTCAAGCATTTACTCCTACAGCAGGTGAAGCCGTGAATTTCGCGAGTATTTACTCGAATTACACAGAAGGATGAAATTGAATCGCCATTCAATTGCATCACGATTAGCCAGGTTGTGTTTGGATGGTTTACGCAAAGGAGAGTTGGAATGTACTGGGACATAGACGATGTTTCTAACGGCTGGGGCATATTGGGGAGTGTATATGACACGGTACAACACTAAAGCCTAGGAGTACAAAAATTTTGGATGGGAAAAAGCCAAAAAATTAATGGGTACCTAACTGGATTCTACGTTTATATAATAATAATATATAAATATAAGAGGGATATATATATATATATATATATATATATATATATATATAAAGAGAGAGAGAGAAAGGGAGAGAGAGACTGGAATGTTACTGGATTTAGATTAGATTTTACGTCTTTTGAGTTTTGAGTAGCCTAATGGGTATATCATATTTTAAATGAATATATAAAACTACATAACTAATAAAAATAAGCAATTAAGTGCATAACCTATCAGGTCAAACCCGACCCGACCCGTTCTGACCCGAAAATTTAACGGGTCTTCGGGTTCGGGTCATTTCGGGTTCGGGTCGCAATTCACTGATTGAGACAGTGAATTGCGCAATTGTATCCTCAGCTTCTTTTACCGACTTCTGTAACTTCACCACTTCTTCAAACTTTGAGACGGCCTGGAAGTGAAGTTCAATAGTTGACCACCTTGAGCCTCCGCCAGCTTCTTGAGGCGGGTCAACTTTGTCTCCATAGAGGTGAGGAAGTTCTTCCTCGAGAGGAACTCTAGACTTAAACAGTGGGCAGTCAGGGCATTCTCACCAGCAGCATCCTGCAAGAAACATATGGACTAAGCAAATCGAAATAGAAAAAAAATCTTAAGTCGACGGAGGGATTCCTTAACTCAGCCAGATCCCTTTGTGGACTTGCGAGGACGGCGTCCTCATCATCCAAATTGGAGTGAAGGGTTTTCATTTCAGCTTCCGCCAACCCCTCACCATGTGTAATTACATCCTTGACGGCCTGCAGAGTCAGCTTTTTCTTCGCTTTTCGTGCAGACACACTTTCAAACTCAGCCACAAGAGTTAGCAGGTCGAGGTCGGTCGTGTGGACCTCCACCTCCTGAGAGAAGCCAATGATGGGCTCCTCTTCCTCCTCCTCTGTCCTCATAATTTTCTGCCTCTTTGGAATGAGAGTAGGGGCCGAAACAGAAGGCCCAGGTGGTACACCCTCAATTTTGCTAGAGCTATGCATTCTCTCTTTCCTCAAGGCCGCACGGAGAGACATTTCCTCTGTCGAAGGAAAATTTAGAACATTACCAAATTCAAGATCAAATAAATTAATGTACAATAATAGCAACGAACCTTCGTCATCTCCATCCTTAGATGACAACACCTCGGCATCATCTTCCTCCAAATCAGAAAGTTCCTCATGGTTGACGTCGGCCTCCTCAAGTCATAGCCGACTAGCATCAGTATCTTCTAGTCTAGCCCGTACATTCGTCTAGCCCTCTTGTCTGCCTCGCCAAGTTCATAATGACGACGTAGCGAAACGAAGAACCTGGCCTTGGTAAAATTCTTCTCAATAAAAAGGTCAAAAACGTGAGGAGGACTCAAGCGATAGTCTGCAAGCAATTTAGTAACAAGTTTTGGCATCTCCTTGGGCCGAGGATGGCGAATGAAAGAGAAGCTCTGGGGAACATGGCCCAAAAAGGATGACGATCCCGGGAAAGTATGACACACAAAACGAATTTTGGTTTCCATCTTTTGAGGGAAGTCAGAATGGTGACCATGGAACAATCATTCCGAGCCAAGACAGAAGCATAAGATTTGCACACACATATTAGAAATTTGCATTAACTAATAAGATTTTTTATCGGTATGCATGCACACATACTTTATGTGGATGACATCGTTCTCACAGCCTCCTCTTTTCCTCTACTTTATCACCTCACTGAACAGCTCAAGGGAGAATTCGCTATGACAGATATGGGTGATCTTTAATTTTTTCTTGGGATTAATGTCCAGCGCACTTTAGGAGGACTCTTTCTTCACCAGACATAGTTTGCTCACAAGATCTTGGAACGAGCTCACATGCTTCACTGTAAGCCTATTTCCACCCCTATGGATACCAAGGCAAAGTTGGCAGCCTCATCCGACACCCCTCTTCCCGATGGTGCATTGCAATATCTCACATTGCTGGTGCATTGCAATATCTCACATTCACACGCCCTGATCTTACATATGCCGTACAGCAGCTGTGTCTTCATCTACATGCCCCTCGCAGCACTCATCTTACTGCCATGAAGCGTGTTCTCTGCTACCTTCACGGCACCGCCACTCATGGGATCACTCTCCATTGCACCCGTACAGATTTCCTACAGGCCTATTCTGATGCTGATTGGGCAGGTTGCCCTGACACTCATTGCTCCACCTCTTGATATTGTGTTTTCCTTGGCGATAATCTCATCTCTTGGTCTTCCAAGAGACGGCTACTACATCTCGTTCGAGTGCAGAGGCTGAGTACCGTGCTGTTGCAAACACGGTGGCTAAAGCAAGCTAGATCCGAAATCTTCTTCTTGAGTTACAGCAACCCCTGCGTTGCGCCACACTGGTCTTCTGCGACAATGTCAGCGCTGTGTACTTATCGTCCAACCCCGTGCACTATCAGCGTACTAAACATGTAGAGATTGATATTCACTTTGTCAGAGATAAAGTTTCCCTAGGTCAAGTCTGCGTCCTCCACGTTCCAACATTCTCTTAGTATGCTGACTCCTTCACTAAAGGACTTCCATCACTTCTCTTCGATGACTTCAGGCACAGTCTTGGCGTCCATCCCTCACCGGTCACGTAGTTGGGTGCATGTTAAATATATTTTGTATATTTAATATTTATTATGTAATTATGGTAGTTTCCTTTGTATAAGATTTCCTGCTTATTATTCTGCCACAGTTATATGTATATATACAAGGCTTGATCCTCTATGATTATTATCAAAAATAAACATTCTTCAGTTATAAACATACTGAATGGTGAAAATTTTAAAAGATTAAAATGCGTATTTAATATGTCCAACTGCAAGATGAGAGTCTTTTTCAAAAAAATTAATTATTGTCCATTAGCTCAAATGGTAACGCAATATGTACTGCACATGTGGGTCCAAATCCTGCATAGGCAAAATATTTTTCAAATCTGTATTACACTTGTTCTAAATACAACATATTTTTAGGCTCTCTCATCACACACACAGTCATTCAGAAGTAATTACTCCGTATTTTTAAATCTACAACGATAAATAAAAAATGCGTGCATAATCTACAATACGTTTTGCAGCTATATATTAAAATGGTGCATACAAATAAAAATATTATCATGTGAGCAAAACATTATGCATAAAAAATGTTAAAGAAAATGATGAAAAAATGGATGATTGAATGGTATTTAGATAAAAATTAAATTTTAAACCACATATTATTTTCTTTCAAAAAAATTTAATGCAAATAAATAAATAAAGAAATGCATTAAAATAAAGAAAAAAAAATATTATAAAAAGCTCAATAGTAAATATTATTCATTATTGATTTTGATAAGAAAATGGTTCACAAATTAAAAATATTGGGGGAAAGCATGCAACTTTTGTAATATATATATAAGGACGACTGGATGACTGGTGGTGCACTTTTGATAGTTCAAGGGAAAAAACATACACTTTTAAAGAGTTCGAGGGTAAATCACACACTTTATTAGAAGTATAAGGAGTACTAGTACATTCTTGAAAATTCGAGGGAAAAAACTTCTTTATGAATAGTTTAGGAGCAAATGATCCAAAAAACTCTTGTTTGAAGTGATACAATAATTAAGGCTAGGGTGAAAGTAGTTGTGACTCCTTCGTAATACTCATACTCCATCCGTCCCTAAATAGATTACAATTTTTTTCTCTCTCCTCTCGATAACTTTTGTTTGTTTACGCGATTTCATTAAGTATTTGATAAAATAAATAATTCTTCTTACCTCTTGTTTTGTAGAATTTTTGACGTAGTTTTTTAATATGTAATTTTTATATCTTATTGATATATCAATTTGTAAATAAAATGATTTCAAAAAGTAGGAGATTTTACTTCGTAACCCGCAATTTGTAATCCATTTAGGGACGGAGGGAGTATAAAGTATTTTGATGATATCACAATCTCTATTTATTAACGACTATATTTGGTTCGACTTCATTTTTACAACCTGGATAAGAACAAAAGAAAACTTAGAAACAAAGAAATTTATGAAGTACTCCGTACAACTTTACTGGATACTTAAATTATTAAATAAAATACGGAGTATATGAATAACGAAATAAATACTCCCTCTGTCCCAAAAAGCTTGGGACATTTTGACTAAAGTGATAAAATAAGGAGGGATAATTTTGTGTTGACTTTCCAAAAATACCCTTAATGTGATGGGTAAAAGTAAGATGTGATGGGTAGATTATTAGGAAAAAGGTATGATGTGATAGGTAGGGTATGAAAAAGTAAGAGGTAAAAGTGGTTTTTTAATAGAAATGTAAAGGACTTTAAGGGACGCAAATTTTTCGAAACGTAACAGACTTTTTGGGACGGAGGGAGTAATAAATTGTGTAATACTCCGATCCCGCAACTGTCGTCGTACGCACTCCTCAATGAAGCTGGGTTAGTTACCAGCATCACTGTCAATATCTTCGTCGTCCATATCGTGCTCGTTGTCGATGCCTTCAGCCGTATCTTGCTCGTCATCGTCTCCATTAACGATTTCTTCATCACTGTCATGTAATTCAGTAACGGTTGATAGACGATCATCCTCGTCCTCTACGATGGGGTCTTCGTCATCGTCGTTGATATTGTCACCCATTTTTCGACTGGTGCGATTATCTACTTCGCGTATATACTAGCTAGCTAGACTGTGATATACGTGATGATTGAATTGGAAATGGAAATGAAAATGGAAATGGAAATGAAAATGGAAACGGAAATGGAAGGAGTATATATATACTCTCCGTTTTCAAAAACACTTCCTCTTTCATTTTTTCTACTTCCAACAAAACACTTCCATTTTAAACTTCCGTTTTAACCTTACCTTTTCATACCCTACATATCACATCATACCTTTTCTCTAAAAATCTATCCATCACATCTTATTTTTACTCATCACATCAAGGGTAAAATTGAAAGTCAACTACAATTTAACACTACCGTATTTTTACACATGGTCAAAATAGGAACTCTTTTTTAAAAAAGGATGGAGTATATATCACTATTAGTTGCTTTTTACCCTCCCTTTCATCTCTTTTTTAACGTTTTAATATTTGCAGTCAATAATTTTTTGAACTTTGATCATTAATTATGGTAAAAATATACGGAGTATTAAATTGTGCAATAAATTTATTATCAATAGTTTAATTTAAACACCTAAATTTTAAATATTATAATCTTATTGTCTATATATATAAATATAGATATTAATGATCAAAGTGATGCATTAAAAATTGTAAAAAATCGATGTACGGGAAGTAATTTACTTACTGCATCCAATTTATGAATCTATTTACAGTGACTAGTAGGTGATCAGAACGCGTACCAACGGGCCCTCTAATTTTTTTTATTTCCTTTATATAAAAAAGATTACTAAAGTTTACTTTATTGGTCAAAGGGTATAATTTTTTGACAACAAACTCATTATTGTTTTAAATAATAAAATTTCATTAAAATGTTATATAGCCAAACTATTTTTTAAAATAAACTCAAATATACTAGATTTACATCATAAATAAATATTTTTTTTTTATAATTTGTAGAAAAATGTTGCACAATTTGATATAAAAAAAATCAAACTGTGATTATTTATTTATGACGAAAAGAGTACAAATTTACATCAGATATGATGTATGCAATAACAAATTTACATCACATATGATGTATACAATAAGATTGTCAAAAAATGTTGCTATTTGAAATATGTATTACTCCCTCCGTCCCATGAAATCTTTCTCTTTTCTTTTTTTATCCGTCCCACAAAACACTTCTCATTTATATTAAAAAGTCACTTTTACCCCTTACTTTTTCATACCTTAACTATCACATCATACTTTTTTACTAATAATCTATCTATCAAATCATACTTTTACTCATCACATCAAAGGACATTTTTGGAAATTCAATACCAAAATACATTCTCCTTAAATCCCTCCTAAAAAGCAAAAGTCTCATGTTTCATGGGACGGAGGGAGTATATTTTACTCCGAGTACTCATTCTTCCTAAAATATTTGTTCTAGTCAAACTAGACAAAAATTCTAGTTATCAATTAAATTTCTTTAATTTATAGATTCTTTTAATAGAAATATTGATTTTTTTTAATACGTTAATATACTATGGACTAATTAATAACTTCATTCCCCTCTTCTTGTTGGAAACATGATTTATTTTAAAAAAATCGTAGATAACACGGATTTATTTGAGAGCCATAATAACACTTTCAGATTGATTATTTGGGCATTTACTCCAAAATCAATCGGATAAAACTTAAATAATTGATCAAGTTCAAGTATATATTGTGATGAATTCTCGAACTTAGTGTTTTTTGACTGAGCTTTGCCGCATTTTTAAAGAAGCCGAGAGGGAGAAGAGATGCAGTCGCATGTGTATTCGAAAGTTTGTGTTTAGTCGCGCGAAATTTAGATGAGGTGTTTTTTCGGAAACTCTTTATACCTGATGGGTGTATTCCACCCAGAACCGGTCAAAGAAGGCGTTCAAATATTCAACCGGTCAAGGTTGATTTGCAAGGATGGGAGACCTAAATCGTCAGTAAAAAGATGCTTGGTTGACCAAAAAGTTGACTGGTATACTTCGGATAGTGTACCGGTCAAACTACTTTATCGCCTTATTCGTCATCAATTTCGGAAAACCCATCCCTCAGAAATCACCCGGTATGATTTCTAAGGTTGGGAAGTGTCGGCAAAGAAGAATCCAAAAGGGTTTGGACTGTAGCGAACATGATCAACGGAGGATCATTGGAGATACTTGAGTAATCAGTCCAAAGCACTACAAGACAAGGGAGCTGCCTTTCTCACTAGATGACAAGGCCACTAGAGGACAAAGGCAATCACCTCGCACCACCCAGGAACGTGCTCTGACGTGGATGCGCGTCGTCTTGTCCCCTTTAGCTTACTATAAATACTGCTATAACCCTCAAAGGAGGGGATCTGATTTCTTCTCTCTAAAACTCCCGTGTAAAAGCTCCCGTGTATTCTTCCATATTCATAATATTAATTGGGCTACAGGTGTTCCACCTACGGTCCTCCTGGTCACTTTGTGTGTTTTACCTGTTCACTTTTACGAATCTAGTAAACAATTCTAGACCGGTTTAGTACTGTTTACCCGGTTAGGTAATTTACACCATCATTTTTGGCGCCACCCGTGGGACCATTAAGGTTTCTTTTCTTCTAAACACAAACCTACTCAGAAAAACACCACTTCGAAAAATGTCTTCAAGCCAGATGGAAATCAACCCAAGTTGTGTGCTTTGCGAGGATGAACCTGAAACCAAACAACACTTATTTTGGGGTTGTGGTTATGCACAAAAGATATACAGCATAGTATGGCAGGAATTCAGCATAACTATCAAGCCTAGGTCATTTGAAGAGGTGGGTGCAAAAGTTCAGAAAATAAAGCAGGCGAAGGATAGGAGGAATGGATTCACAATTTGGGCAACTTGTATCTACTCTGTATTATATATGGAAGGCAAGGAATGAAGCAATAAATCAAAAGAAGAAGAAAGCTGAAGATATAGCTAGGCAAGCTATTTTCCATATGAAAAGCTATTTTTCTTTTAGAAAGGCACTGTAATGGTTTGTTAGAGATTAAATCAATGTAACGAGCTGAGGAACTTTGAAGGTTTTAGTAATGAAAGTTATGTGTTCGGTGCAAAAAAAAAAGTCTACCATCTCAACAAATTAGAAATCCAAATTACGCTTAAGAACCATTTAGCAAAAATTGTAAGAATGACATAAACAACAAAAAAATTACAAAGACCCAAAACAAAAATTACATATTTTATAGGGACCAAAAACATTTAACCGTGCATGTGTACCATTGTATAGCTTGACAGTTTGTACAGCTTTTGGAACGCGTACACAATTTTTTTATTACAAATTTATAGATCTTTTACTAAAATGATTTTTTAATTTATACATAAAAAACTTTATACTCACAATAATCTGTACCATTAAAAAGTTGTCTACGCCCTACGAAGTAAAATGCTAATTGCTAACACTATTCCCAAACGAAGCTTTACTCTCATTTATACCCCATCAAAAAAACTCAAGGAAACTACAAGTTCAGAGCTCAAAGATTACTCATAACAATTACATGATGGATGAGAAAGAACAAAATGGGGTTTTTTCTTTAAAAAAGAGGAGGATTTTCAACTAATATCTTACAAGGAATCATCATTTTGTTCACATTCCCATTGTGCATGCAGTTGGGGCATTGCTATTTCCAGATCCATAGCTGATGAACACTCATTCCACACCAGCAACAAGGGCCTCTGCATTCACATTCATAAAACCATAAGTTCCAGTTTTTTTGTATTTCACAGAAAATATAAAGTTAAGGGAGACATGTCTAGGCAAAGACTTTTAGGATGTGTTTGGATGACGGGATTAAATGAGGACGTAGTTTATATCTTGATAAATGGAACGTTTATTAAAATGTACGAAAACTAATTGAAATGTAAATGTTTCAACTTTTTTTGAGGTAAAATCTCAAACATATATCAAAATACTAAGCTATCTAAAGCATTTACGTCCAAAGCCCATATTCCAAAGAGACCCTTAGAACCGTGCTTTTAGTACACATGTGAAGTAAATCGGAAAAATTCACACTTATACTCGAAGGTTTGGTCGATTATACAATATTATTCCCGCCACTAAAAACATACAATATTACTCCTGGATTCTCTTTTGCACGCCAATACTCCGAGAAATCACCAAATTTCACATCGCTATTCCAACCTGGCTCAGGACTTAATCTCGTTGTATTTTGTCTAACTTGACATCTCAAACAATAAGTTGGCAGCACATGTTAAGTAATTGAATAGCATTAAACATCATTTGGATTTGTGTGAATAACTTAATAATGTTTTTGAAGACAACGATTTCACCAAGTCCAATTAGGTTTCCTTTATTAAGTTGTTCAAAAGAGTCCAAATGATATCTAATTTAATTCCATTACTTTAAATGTGTGGTCAACTTAATATTTCTAATGGCATGTCAACCAAAATAATTCCATGTAATTAAGTTCGAAGTTGACTGAGTCGGGTTAGAGTAGCGATGTGAAATCCGGTGATTTCTCGAAGTATTGGCGTACAAAAGAGAATCTGAGAGTGATATTGTATAATAGGCCAAATTTGGGAGTATTGGTGTAAATTTTTCGAGTAAATTTGGAAACTTATGCAAGGCAAACTCAGGGATGGAAAAATTTCGAACCATACAACCCAAACCATATGTAGCTAAGCTTTTTACAACTGTGTTAATCTGAACCAAAATGAAAACGATTAAAATCAAGCCAAAGAAAGAAAGGCAGAACCATTCCAAAAAACAATAGAAATCCTAAACCCAAACTGAACTATCCATGTCAATTCGACTTTAGTTTGGTACTGTTTTTTTCAAGACCGAGTTAATGTGAACCAAGTCCAAACAAAAACACTAAACCCAAAACAAAACTACCTCAAAATTAAAATCTCAATTCCATATTTGGCATACTTAACACACTAAAAATACTACTATAATATACCAACTTTATCATTCACATTTTTCTACCCACCCTCCATTTCTTTCCTACCCTTGCTAACAATTTCACTTTTAAAGGGCAAGATG